ATCGAATGGAATAGGTTTTAAGGCTCTATCTCTCATAGTTTCCGAGATTTTTATCTATCCAACGTAGTTCTTCCGTTCGTTTTGGTTATATCCTCTTACTAGAGTAGAGGCAAGCACCATTTTCATCCAACGTAGTTAGCGATTTGTGTCGTGCACTTATCCCCCCACTCGCCACACCACACACTGGCATTTCTACTCGCGGCGATGGAAACTCTATGGGATAACAGTGGGTAGACGTGGGAGAGCAATTTCTTCAATGTCGATTTCGGAGACCGATGCCTTCCCACACATTATAGAAAACGCTTTATAAATTCCGAAGGAAAAGTCCTGCGTTTTCTACTCTTCACTATTGGTAGAAAAAAAATTCGTGATGTTGAAAATTTCGAGAGTCGAAGTAGGGACTAGTGGGGAAAAATAGGCACTTTTGACTTGTTTTGAAACATCAATGGAGCATTTAATTTTCAATGGAGGGGACTAATTTTATTGCACTGAAAGTATTATGGTTTTTTTTTGTGGCTAGTCTGGACTGATTTTAATTGATAAATTTGTTCGTGAATGCGAAATCTTACAAGGAGACAGCCAGAAGTGTCCGTTTTACCCATAATTTTATGGAAATAAAATGAAAATACTCATTTTTTGAGGCACTTACCAAGCCCACCTAGCCTCGCACCACGAAACAATCCACGAAACAATGGAAATCGTCCTGAAAAACAAAAAAAACCTTCATCTCTTCAACTGTCATCAACATAGTGATCGAGGGAATCTCATTGTCCGACTCTCAACTGTCTCCAAACCCAAGAAAATCCCTCCTCCAATGTGAAAACCCTCACCATCAAGCTCTATTTACATTTTTTAAAATTCAAGCTCAATTTAAAACTCCTAAAAAATTTAGTAGATGTCGACAATGCCGGCCGAGTGTATCAATTATAATCGATCCGTCGCTGAATCCCGAAGACCCCGGAAGCCCTTAAAAAAACCCCAAAAAATGGCGCCGGCCCGTCTAAAAAATCCAAAACCCTCCGATTTCCCCTGAACTACCTCCCACGACGGCAACTACTCAAACAACAGACTGCACCATCGTTTCTCCGGCGTTGGTGCACCAGTGTCTGCACTTCGAGCCCCTGAAAGTCCCCCGAGAGCCCCCTCCGGGCACCCCCGCCCATCGGAAACCGATCCTTCGAATATTCCCCCCCGACCCCCCGGGAAAAACCCCCTGAAAACCCCCGCGCCCCCAAAATTTCAACAATTCTTTACGACGGTTGCACTTCAACCCGAAATGCACCGCCCCGAGCTTGCCCCAATTCCCCCCCGAAAGCCCGAAAAATCCCCGGGAAATTCCCCCCCATGTGGCCCCCCGAATATTCGACGAGATCCCCGACTCATCGAACCCCGGGGAAGTCCTCCCGCAGGTGCCAAAAGAGCCCCGAATACGAGGGAATCGGTACCGCATTGAGTGACTACCGGAGGACCACTCGCGCACAAGACAGGGGCGGTCTGTCTCCACGGTCCGCGCTCGTGTGTACTGCCAAGTGTTTCCCGGAGCTCTTGGCCCCACGCAATACTAAATCAGTCTCTGTACCTTCATCACTTTGGCACCGTGAAAAAGAAAAAGATATAAAAATTCTGAAACAATCACTAAAACAGTAAACGTAAAATAAAAATTTCACAGAACGTTAAAAAAAATCTCAAGCGATTGGTTAACTAACAAGTCTATGAAAATAGACATTTCAGAAAAAATTCCAAATATACAAAAGCGAGTTGCAATTGATGAGTTAAAAATTTCGCGGACCATTAAAAAAAAATTCTCAAGCGGTTAATAAAATAACAGGCCTACGAAAATAGACATTTCACAGAGAATTTCAAAAATAAAGCGAGTTGAATAAAACCGCGACTTATTTTCCTTGAGGGAAATTGATAAAAAAATATTCTCAAGCAATTAATAAAATAATAATCCTACGAAAACAGACATTTCGCATAAAATTCCAACCACACAAAAGCGAGTTGAATAAAACGCCTCATTTTCCCTTAAAAAAATCGTAAGTGATTGAAATAAATTGAGTGCACGAAAATCGCGATTGCGCGTAAAATTCCAAAGCGATTTGAATTGCGACTCATTAAAGAAGTGTTTGTTTTTGAGAAACAACGGATATGAGAACTCCGGCACTGATATTGGCGTCTGCGCCGGCGGCTGCGGCGCAACCGAAGAAGTCTCAGAAGGTGAAGAAGCCGCGAGCGAAGTCGACGCACCCGAAGACAGCGGAAATGGTGAACGGCGCGATAAAATGTCTGAGGGAGAGGGGCGGCTCCTCCCTGCACGCGATAAAGAAGTACATTTCGAGTGTGTACAAGGTCAACGGCGAAGGGCATGCGCCGTTCATCAAGAGGTACCTGAAGACGGCGGTGGCCGGGGGGATCCTGGTGCAGGCGAAGGGCAAGGGCGCCGCTGGGTCCTTCAAGCTCGCGGCGGCGGAGGGTCCCAAGGGGAGAAAGCCCTCCCCGGCGCCGCTGAAGAAGGTGGTGAAGGTCAGCGCGAGCCCCAAGAAGTCCGCAGCGAAAAAATCCCCGAAGAAAACGACAGTCAGGAAGGCTCCGGCGAAGAACGTGATTAAAGGGCCCGCGGCGAAACCTCCCAAGGTCAAGACTACCGCCAAGGTCAAGGCCGCGGCGAAACCGGCGAAGAAGCCCGCGAAGCAGGGGAAGGTCGCGAAGGCGAAGAGACCGGTGAAGAAGACCGCCAGGAGGAAGAAGTGAGCCGCTGGATGATGAACGTCCGAGGCTTTTGGGCCGAGATAAGAACTCTCGAGGATATCAGTGCGCCGTTTGCCGGCAGGCGAGGCCTGCGGAACGCAGTAGCCGCGTCACATCGTCTCGCACGCCAGATCTCAAGCTTTGTTTTAACGTTTTCGGGGGTGGAAATGAAGAGTTGAGATTTTTTTTGTAAATTATTGTAGGGTTGGTGGAGAATAAATTTCGTTGTTTAGGAGATGTTTGAGATTCTTTGGGAGGCGTTGAATTTTTTGCGGAAATAAATGTCATGATTTAAATCATTCCTGTTTTCAAAATTTTTTTAATGTTTTTCATTGGGGGACAGCTGGGGCTTTTGGGTTGAGGTAAGAACCCTCGAGGATATCAGTGCGCTTTTTGCCGGCAGGCGAGAGCTGCGGAACGCAGCATCCACGTCAGATCGTCTCGCCAGATTTCGCCAGATCTCAAGCTTTGTTTTAACGTTTTCGGGGTTTGAAATGAAGAGTTAAGATTTTTTTTTGTATTTGTAACCTATTGTAGGGCAAATTTTTTATTAAATAAATTTGAGAATACATTTGATTATTTAGAAAAATTAAAAATTGTCTGGTGGAAATAAATGTCGATTTAAAACGTTATCACGATTTTTTTAAATTGCATTATTTGCACCTTTCACTTGACTAAGTAATCCGATAAAACATTTTGTTTTTCATTTTTTGGTATTTTGTAAAATGAAAATTGATATAAAAAAATTGAAAAATCATTTCGTTTTCTATTGATAAAATTTACTGTTTTCATTTCACTCAAGTTGATATAATTACTGTAATTGTTTATATTTCCTTAAAATTGTGATAAATTAATTTTTAATTAATATAATTAAAAAAATAAATATTAAGATAATACATATAATACAATAAATTATTATAATATATATATGATATAATAATATAATATATATATTCATATATTTTATTTAAATATTTTATATAAATATAAATTATATAAATTAATGAAATTAAGAAATTTATTATGAAAAAATTTTGTTCTCCCAAATTAGAATGAGCCGCCCTTTTAAAACGCTAGAGGGGCGCCACCGTCATTCGCCCGCCATTTTGGATCCCAGAATGACGCAAAGTGGTCATTCTTCTTGACCCTCATACTCCCGGGAATGCTCGTGACCGAAGCATCCACCTATCGATTGTTTTCTCTGGTTTTCTCGTCAGTGTGATAACCGTGTGATCCGTCAGTGAGTTATCCCCCACTAATCCAGTTTCCTCGCCAAAAAGGCTGGAGCCATACGCCCCGGTTGCATTTTCGTCCTCAGGATTTGCCCAAATCCCGAGATACGCTACTCCCCGTACCACCCAAAGTATTCCATCGACAATTATCGCAATTCCAGGGACAAGTGAACTCTTAATTATTGGAAGTGTTGATTAACGGGCAAAATGGGCTCGCTTTTTCGCAGCGAGGAGATGACCTTGTGTCAGCTCTTTTTGCAGAGCGAAGCTGCTTATGCATGCGTTTCCGAACTCGGGGAACTCGGTCTCGTGCAGTTTCGTGACGTAAGTAGCGAAAATTCATCGACAAACATATTTTTTGTGAAATTGAACACAAGTTGAATTCATTCTTTAACTTTAGGTTTTACTCGGCCCCAGCATTTTTGTCACATGATCCTTCCGTTCGCAATCAATATTCTTGAAATATTTACAATTTTGATTAAATTTTTCGAAGAAATTCATAGCGAGTATTTTTTTTCTGTTAATTAAAAGGGATTGAAAAATATGAAAATGTCGAATCCTTGAATTTTAGTCTTTAATTTCTTGCGACCGTTCTGTCACATGACTTGACCACTCCGTTCATCTGTTACATTGTTGAGGAAATTAAAATTTTTATTTTACAATTTTTGGAGAAATTACCATCGAGTATTTTTATTCAATTGATTGTAGGGGATTGAATAATTGGGAAAACATCGAATCCTTGAAGTTCTTTTTTTTACTCTTTTGCAATCATTGTCACATGACTTGACCATTTCGTCCATTTATTACATTTTTCGGAAAATTTAACACATTTTTTATTATATTAAAGAAACATAAACATTAAATATACTTTTTGAATTGAATTGGGGAATAAAAATGATGAAAACTCGTCCAATTCCAGTTTTTGCTCGTCTGCAATTATTTAATCCCCTGATCTGACCCAAGAATTTGATGTATTTCTTTATTAAATTCAAAAGAAAACGTTGGGGAGAAATTTATGCCGAAAATTCCGTCTCTTTTTGGCTCTTCCTCATTAATTAATTCTGGGAAGATGAAGTAAAAAGGCTAGTGTAGGTAAAACAGTACATCTAGCACCAATGAAAATCAATTGAATTGAATTGAATATGAAGTAAAATGAACCTTTTTAAACAATAAATTGTAAAAAATGCAAAATAATTTTTAAATCCAATAAAATACCTTTAAAATGAAAAAAACAATTGGATCTCTGTCCGAAAAAATCATCCCATTCCCAATTAAATTTGGCTTTTCAATTTAATTCAGATATTTATCTCCAACTAATTGACACAAAAACTAAAAAAAAATCAATTCCTTCAATGATTATTACCCCATTCCCCAGCCGTGTTCAAACCTTCACATTTGACTGAAAAATTCCAGTTGAATCCCGACGTTAACGCCTTCCAACGTAAATTCGTAAACGAAGTACGTCGCTGCGATGAGATGGAACGAAAGCTCCGTTACCTCGAGAAAGAAATCAAGAAGGACGGCATCCCGATGCTGGATACAGGGGAGAACCCGGAGGCGCCCCAGCCCCGAGAGATGATCGACCTGGAGGCGACATTCGAGAAACTCGAGAACGAACTGCGCGAGGTCAACCAGAATGCTGAGGCACTGAAGCGTAATTTCTTAGAGTTGACTGAGTTGAAACATATTTTGAGAAAGACCCAGGTTTTCTTCGACGAGGTAAGTAATTAAATGACTCATCAAACCGATCGATTATGTGACGACAGTTATTAATCACAATTAATTCAATTAATGAGAATTTTAACGATTTCATTTGCGAGCTGAAACCAACAGGACAAGTGTGAAAAATCCATGGCTTTTATTAATGAAAACAGACGTTTCCAATTAATAACGATTAAATATCGACTGATAAACGTAACATTGCGGATCCCAATAAAATAACACTCGTGAAAATGATGAAATTTCAATAGATAATCATGTCAACTGCCGCTGAAAGCTGTGAATGAAACTAGATTTTTCTTAATTATACTATCTGATTGGATGTAAAGAAAGTACGTGCATGCAAATATCATGAATTATTTTGCAACAAAATGCCTGATTTAATCAATTATCATTGCTGAGGACTTTGTCACGCGTTCGATTATTAAAAGTGCACTTACGAATTGGCTTGAGACCATTTTTTTACCATTCAAATTGAAATTGTACAGAGCATTATCGAATGATTCAAGGAGGTACATGTAAATACTCGAGAGAGCTGTTTTGTCCAGTTCGTCACGTGTTAATAATTAATAATTGAGTGATTTTAGGGATTTAAATGTGTTAGTGTTGCCAACTAACAATAAAGCTGCAGAATTACTGCAACGAACACAAGTCACTCGCTGTGCCCTGTCTCCCCTTGTTTAATTAATATTTTTTTTCACTCGAATGAGAATGTTTCGACAGTCAGATGTAAGTAAAGGTACTTGACAGCTTCAAGACTTGGTGTAACTCGACTGATACTTTCGCTTTTCTAAATGTATAGAGCTTTCTTCAGTGTTTTTTTTTTTTCGTTGAGATCTTCCTGTCTGAGGAAATTTTGTTAGCCGAATTTTCTCTTTTTTTTCTCTTTTTTTATTCATTTTTTATTCATTCTTGATCGTTGGTTATCGACATCAAGGGTATATTCGATACATGGATGATAAGGTGCACCTCAGTGACTGGAAATCGTCTTTAGTTATCGGCTTTATCACTTAACACTGGGAAATTGAGAGAATGAGTCATTTTTGATAATCAGCTGATACATCTGTGTAAATATAACTCTCTAGTTGAGTAGGCTTCTTTTTTCAATTGGGTGGGATAAGAATACATTGATTTTTCATTTTTATTTCATTGCTGCATTCACAAATAGAATTTTTCCTTATAAATTACAAATTGGTTCCATGAAATTAGTTCAAAAATTTGCATGCTCATTATACATTAAATTCTAACTACGAATTATTATAAGTTATGTAAAAATTTGTCTTTAATGCACTAGTTTTAATTTTATTCTTGCGACGGGATAAAAAAACACCATTGATGATTAACTTTTATTTCATTACTGCATTTACAACTAATTTTTTTTCAAAAAAATTATAAATCATTTCGATGAAATCCCTTGAAAAATTTCCGTACTAATTAAACTTTCAATTCCAAATCCCCAATAAATTAAACCCAATAATTTCAACTTTATTCATGGGTTGGGATGAAGAATAGTTATTAATTCATTAATTTTTAATTTTTTTTTATTACTATATTCACAATTAGATTTTTTTCAAAAAAATTATAAATAATTTTCATAAAATTTCTTGAAAAATTTGCATATTAAACTCTCAATTCAGATGAAAATGAGTCTCAAATCCAATAATTTTAAGTTTATTCACGGGTTGGGATGAAGACTAATCATTAATTCATTAATTTTTAATTTTTATTTCATTACTGCATTCATAAATATAATTTCTTCAAAAAAATGAATTATTCCCATAAAATGACTTTAAAAATTCGCATGCTAATTAAATTCAATTTCAGCTATAATTTTTTTTTTTTAGTTATCGATGTAATTAACACTTTCAGCCTCTCTAGTAGCTAATTCCACCCTCTGTAGCCCTGTTACATAATTTCACTTGGATAATTGTGTAATTCTTCTCACGTGAGAGGTTGAAGCTGATGAGTTTGAATTTTCCCCTTGAATCAACTTGTAAAAAGCAATGAGGGAAATTCGGATGAATTTTCCGAGTGATTCTGGGGGGAGGCAGGGCGAACCGAGAGGGTGACATGTGTTTGTTGCCAGGCTGAGCATGGAGGTGTCGTGTCGCAGATGGCAGACCCAAGCCGCGAGGAAGAACAAGTCACTCTATTGGGTGAAGAGGGCCTCCGCGCTGGCGGCCAGGCTCTCAAACTCGGGTAATTAATTGTGGCGTTCATCTTCACGCTCTGCAGAGTCCAATGACTCTTCATGTCCACGAATTACCGAGGCAATAGGAGAAATAGTTTTGCGATTAGTGGCTGAAAAGTTGATGGGATGAACAGAACAAGTCAATTTTTTGGGGTTTCCACTACCATTTAATTTAAAATGAAAATGTTGACGCATTTTTATTGTGGAAAATTAAATTTTCAACAAGAAATGTTTGAATATTTTCGCCTAGAACAAGAGTGGTTTCTCTTGAAGAATGGAATTTTAGTTCCTTATAAGAATTTAATTATCTTATGAAATATTGATTTTACGAGAAAAGGTCAAATAAACTTTTTTGTGGAGAATTAAATTTCCGACAGAAAATGTCTAGTCACATTTTCTCCTCAAACGACTCGCTATCGAGATAATTCCAAGTTTGTAAAGATTCGAAGTGAAATTCTGATTTGATAATTTGAATAAATGTTAGATTATCTTGTAAAAATTTTGGTTTTAGCAGAAAATGTCTTCAGCAAATTTGTCCAGACCTTTTACCCCAAAGTCCTTAATTATCCCCATAATTAAAATTCCACAATCCTTATAAAATTGATTTATTCTGTTCTTCAATAATATTCTTCCACTTCCCCCTGCCTTTCCTCCTGTCGAAAACAGCCGCTTGTCATGGTCATTGTACTCTGCACAGTGTCAAAAAAAAAATCAACCAGACCGAGTATCACATGCAATGCAAGCATGTAGAGCCGTTGAACCACTCGTTTTCAAATTCTGCACATTATCATTAGAAATGCACAGAATGTGTTCTCGGTCACAGCACAATCAGGTGTGTCCCTTAGCAATCAGGCAAATCGATCGACTCAGTCGATCCCAAAAGACAAACCGTGCTGATCGAGCATTGATTCGCTGCGCTGCAAGAACAGCTCCATTAGCTCTAGATTTTTTTATCTTCAGTATTAATTGTGAAAGTCTGCCAAAATGCACAGAGGCTAGCTTACTTAGGTAATGTCCACTTTGGAGCCATCAGTGTGTTTAATGGTTGCAGCACCTGTACACAGCAGCAGCAGACATAGGAGCACACTATAGGAATCCCCTCAGGCAAGCTGTTATCAACCGTTATTTGAGTTTGCCAATTTTTTTTTATACGTTTTCACTCTTTTTTTTTTTGCTCTCAGTGTTCGCCTGTGCTCAGACTTTGCGAATAAAATTAAAAGGCAGTGGCTATTCACACGCCTGCGTGAATCCCTCCGGTACACTCCATACACTCCATAGGGTTTTCTGAGTGATTCACGCAGACACGAAGTAGTTCATTGGGCATGTAGATAGTGCAGTGAGTGAGACTGGCAGGGAACCAGGTAATGTAGTTTGAGTGCTTCACGCAAGAGTGAGTGGAGGGATTCACGCAGAATATTTTCTGTTCGGAGTGATTCACGCAAGAGTGAGTGGAGGGGTTGATGCAGGATTTGCATAGATGTGAGTAAAGTCGTACTGGAGAGATTGTAGCCTTCGGTTCCTATTCCCCCACCATTATGTTATAGGGAACTCAAAGACTAAAATCTCGCCAGTACGCCAGTAAGTCACGCAGAATATTTTCTGTTAGGAGTGGTTCACGCAGAATATTTTCTCTTCCGAGTGATTCACGCACAACCCGCAGCATTCGCACAAATGGATGCAAGGGAACGTAGGAGTTCAGGACCTAATCAGATAATCCTGTTAGCGGGACAGGGGGGGGGGATGAAATAACGTTAGCCACACAGATAATCCTAGTGGACTAACGTTAGGGAACCGGACGGGTTCACGCAGGAGTGTGAATAGCCACTGCCAAATTAAAAATCAAGGACAATATGTGAATCAAAGACAAACAAGACTGTTAGCTTTGAATATATAAAATGAATAACAATTATCGTTTTCAAGAGGTTTCGGGAGTCAAAATTACTGCTGAAATGGACGAAAACTTTGCGTTGTTAATTTTCAGCCAAAGGGGGATGGAAAAATTGGAAAGATGGCTTAAAAAATTTGTTCATTTTTTAGAAAGTTGGTGAAGTGAGTTGAGGGTTAACTGAAGGGGATAATGAATTTTAAAAGGTGTTTGAAAATGCGAGGTGGGGGTGCCGCCATCTTGAAGCTCCTTCCGCAGACCAAGATGGCGGCGCCGACATGTGTCAACCACCTCGTATTTTCTGACATTTTTTTCTATTACTAGACTAGACTGAATACACGTGCTCATCTACCACCTAATTTACCTGTGAAAAACTTCCTTTTTTTCACTCAAATTTTTTTTTTTAATTTATTAAAATATTTTTTTTTAGCGAGATTACAACATTAGCGGTGAAGCAGTTTCGAGATAGAAAACAACTTCTCAAAACGTTGTTTTAGACATAGGATTTATCCTCTTCAGGCCCCTTTCAACTCGTTTTCTCCCATTTCTAAAAAAATGAACAAATGTTTTAAATTATTCTTCAGATTTCTCGATAGCGCAAAGTTTCCTCCGCTTCAGTACTTTTTTCAGCCCCCGAGGCCTCTTGAATCTCGAGATCAGTGACAATTAATAAATCCGTACATCTGTAATTTTGTAGTTAATCACAGAATGCGTTTAAAGAAAGATTCAATTTTCACATCAATTTTTGAGAATAATTCCTCAAAAAAATAATGGTTCACAATATATAACAGTTGATACAGTTTGACTTGACGAAAAATAAGAGAAAGGAATTGATTTCAAGCTGTATCGAAAAGCATCACCTTTGAACCCAATTGGCAAATTGGTAAAACTGAAAAATAAAAGAGAATAATAAATAGCCGCTTCTTTAGATGCATTTAATTTTTGTAATTACGAGCCTCGTAACAATACGATGAGTCAAATTATCCACCGAAAACAATATGATAATTTGTCGTTTGAGTTAATTTATCTAGTCATGTCGTGTGAATAACAAATAAATGATGATGGTGTGGCCATGGGTATGTATATCAAGTGAACTTTAATTAACATAGCATTCCTGCCGTACCTGTGCCTCTTCTTTATGTTCATTCCTCAATAATTCACCAAGCCACTGAGACATGTCATGAATTATTGATGAATCAATAGCTGTCATGCCGAGCATCTGCACCCATTGCCTGTACCTAGCCGCTTCTCTACCACGAAATTGTGTATTTTATCGTCTGCATCATCTGTTCATCAACATTACTTGTCATTCCCAACCGTTAGAAAAGAAAAAACTCTCGAGAATCATTGAGACTGAATGAAAATGCGGGACCGTATACTAGATTAATTGTTCCTTCGAGATCAGATCTCCAACTGTTACTAGATAGGCCAATGGATTTTTAGTCAGTTACCTTGTTGAATATTACATTTTAATCCAATTTCAGATTCTTTTTTTTGTAAATAAGAATTGCCATTTCTCTGACAATTCGTATTTAGAGTAAGATGTGTGGTGATGATTATTTTATCCTCAAAAGAGACTACTCCACGATTAGTTGAACGTTTCAAAGTGTTAATTGTTGTTTTTTTGAGGATGAATTAAAGAACACATGCACGTTAACAGCGAAACGCCAGACCCATGCAACGAAGCATCGAGCGGCGTGTTCTATTTAATTGGCAGTCTTCCTCATTTATTTATTTTTTTGAATATTTATCTAATGTGAGAGATTGTTTTTTTTCAATTTTTTTTTCTTGAGCATTGTGGTCCCGTGTCTAGTGTGCTAATGTGGTTGTGTCTTGTCTGTTGTGTCGTCAGCAAGAGCACGCAGGCTTGAACCCCACCGAGTCCATGACACGCGCGTTGATTAGTGACGATAATATCGCCCGCCAGTCCGCCCTTGGTCCTGTCCAGTTGGGGTACGTACCTAGTGTCACCATCCTTGACTAGATAACGCCTTAATCCCATTCATTGATTTATTTATTATTTTTATCGATTATTTATCTGATGCTTTGTCCATCGACTAATATCAGCAAATACATTTATGATTTTTTAAAAATTCGTATCGCGTGGTTTCAAAGATTTCACGGGATTTTTTATGATGTTTTTGAGTGATTTTTCAGGGCTACTGTCGACTCGCTTGTAAAACCTCTAAGTACTTCACTTGATATTGCTTGAAATTCTCACTTTTTCCTTTTCGACAGTTGTATTTTATCGTAGAATTGCGTTATCTTTATTTTCTTAGTCTTTACTGAATCTGTTGTAGAGCTGAAATGAGCTCTCGGGCGTAAAAAAATTATGGAAAGGCGAGGAAAACTTTGCGCCATGAATTCTCAGTCGAAAGGGAATGGAAAAATTTGAGAGATGGCGTAACAAAATTATTCCATTCGTAGGAACGAAATGGAGAAAATTGAGAGTGATGAGAAGACGATAAATAATTTTAAGAAATGTTTGAAAATACGAGATGAGAGCGCCGCCATCTTTGAAGCCCCTTACGACAGAGGGAGGGACATCCAAGCAAGATGGCGGCGCCCAGACGTGTCAACCACCTCGAATGTTCGACTATTTCCTAGAATTATTTATCGTCTTCTGATCACCCTCAACTGTCTCCATTTCGTTCCTACCAATTGAACAATTTTTTGAAGGCATCCTTCAGATTTTTTCAGCCTCGTTTGGCTCAGAGTTCATTGTGCAAAGTTTAACCCCAATTTAAGTAGTTGTTTTTACTCCCAAGGCCTCTCAAGGAAGGTTCACCTATTTAATTATCAATTTCAGTTTGATTTCTCCTACCCCTTTTGGTGGAATCTTTGGAATGCGTTGAGTAGAAGTGATAAAAATCGCACGGTTATATTTAAATTGATATGCTGTATTCATTCCCTGTTTCTGTCTAATTGTCCACGTAAATGAAACAAGAAACCTGAGCTTATTACTGCGGGGAAATTTCACTCTTAAGCATCACATTTTACAATTCACACTCACATACAACGGAATGAAAAATAGATACATAAAGATGAATATGGTAACGTCTAATGCATTAACTGAGTCACATGTTTGCATCCCATTGACGTACCGTAGTGTAATAACGTTATCCTCTAGACCAGAATTGAAATATTAATTATCGAAACATCGAGGGGAACAGTCGTCACCTTTTCAAAGGCTTTCCTACAAAGAAATACTCCTAGTAAGTGTTTTTAATTGATTATATTTTGTTTTGGTTTGCTGTTTGATTGTCGGTGATTCCCTGCTGTCTTTTTGAAGCATCTATTTTCCCTGGGGTTTTGTTTTTTTTACCTTCAATAAATCCTTTAGGTCTATCAAGGTATGTAAAATTACCATGGCTGCAAGAATCATCATTCACAAGATAAAAAGTTTTTTTTGAAATTTTGTTACTGAATGCCAGACATGGCCCATCGATACAGATTGAAAAAAAAAACAGGATTTTGTTGAGGTATTAGCATAGGGCAGATAGAGTGTGTACGAATAATTTAGATGTGCAGATTTTTGTCCAATTAACAATAATGTTTAAACACCGTATGAAGATTAGCGTAGCCCCCGAGAAGAGATCCTGCAGTCTGACTCTTCTTCTCTAAAATCCACGCCGATTCACTCTTGACACTACTGCGCAGCTGATTGCGCAGGCTGCGCATGCGTATGGCAAGTCCTCATGAGTGACCACTCGGCTCAGTCCATTTTAGAAAAGAAGAGTTCGACTGTGGATAGACAACAATGAAGAAACTTCAACATCTTTTTTAACAAAATTAGCTTTGTGGCTGGAGTAATTCTGCGCGAGCGAATCCCAGCGTTCGAGCGGATGCTATGGCGTGCCTGCAGGGGCAACGTCTTCCTCCGTCAGGCGGAGATCGAGTCAGCGCTGGAGGACCCGTCGACATCCGACCAAGTCTTCAAATCCGTCTTCATCATCTTCTTCCAAGGAGATCAACTCAAGACCCGGGTTAAGAAGATCTGCGAGGGATTTAGAGCGACATTGTACCCCTGTCCGGAGGCCCCGGCCGATCGCAGGGAGATGGCCATGGGTGTGATGACCAGAATCGAGGACCTTAACACTGTTCTCGGACAGACACAGGACCATCGCCACCGAGTGTTGGTTGCCGCAGCGAAGAATATCAAGAACTGGTTCATCAAGGTCAGGAAGATCAAGGCCATCTACCACACCCTGAACCTCTTCAATCTCGACGTAACTCAGAAATGTCTCATCGCCGAGTGTTGGGTGCCAGTTCTGGACATTGAGGGCATTCAACTCGCCCTGCGAAGGGGCACGGAACGCAGTGGCAGTTCGGTTCCCCCCATTCTGAACCGAATGGAGACATTCGAGGATCCGCCGACTTACAATCGCACCAATAAATTCACGAAGGGTTTCCAGGTGCTGATCGACTCTTACGGAATAGCCTCTTACAGAGAGATGAACCCAGCCCCCTACACCATCATCACCTTTCCCTTCCTCTTCTCCGTCATGTTCGGGGACACAGGACACGGGTTGATCATGTTCCTCTTCGCAGCCTGGATGATCCTGAAGGAGAAGCCACTCACGGCCCAAAAGTCTGACAATGAGATCTGGAACATCTTCTTCGGAGGGAGGTACATCATCTTCCTGATGGGTCTGTTTTCGATGTACACTGGGCTCATCTACAACGACATGTTCTCCAAGTCTCTGAACATATTCGGATCGTATTGGAGAGCCAATCTGACCTGGCCTGAAGTCAACGGGGTGAAATCCCTCATGTTGGATCCGGCTTCAGACGCTTACAGCGGGGTTCCCTATCCTATCGGGGTCGATCCTGTCTGGCAACTCGCGCAGAACAAGATCATCTTCTTGAATTCGTACAAGATGAAGATATCCATCATCATTGGGGTCATCCACATGCTGTTTGGGGTTCTTGTTGGGCTGTGGAATCATCTCTACTTCAAGAGGAGGATGAACATAATCTGTGAGTTCATCCCTCAAGTCATCTTCCTCGTGTTTCTGTTCATGTACATGGCTCTGTTGATGTTCATCAAGTGGGTGAAGTATGGACCCGGAAAAATCGAGGAACTTGGACCGTTCTGCGCTCCCTCGGTTCTCATCACCTTCATCAACATGGTTCTCTTCAAGAATGGGGCACCACCACCAGTCTGCAAGACTGAGTACATGTACGCCGGACAGGGAGGCTTCCAGAAGTTCTTGCTCGTAATCGCTCTGCTCTGCGTCCCGTGGATGCTTCTCGCTAAACCCATCATGATAATGAAGGAGAGGAAGAAGCATCATTACCAGTTGAATAACCATGGGACTGAGAATGGAGATGTTGAGGGAGGGGTAGGAGCTCTTCAGCAGAACCAGGGGGCACCTCAGAAGGAGGAGGAAGAGGAGGAGATGAGCGAGATCTTTATTCATCAGGGAATTCATACTATTGAGTATATTCTTGGATCTGTGTCTCATACTGCCTCGTATTTGAGACTCTGGGCTCTGTCCCTTGCTCACGCTCGTAAGTTTTATTTTTATTATTCCATTTTGATCGTAATGAACGATTTTTTTACTTTAATCATCATTTAGAAAATTGAATTTTTTAAAGATTTTGTTACTAAAAAATAAGAGGATTTTGTTTCGAAAGTAGCGTAGGACTGATGAAGTGTATGCGAATAATTTAAAGGTACCAGTTTTTGTTTAATTAATAATCCTATTTGAATATTCAATGAAGATTAAGTATCCCCAATAAGAAATTATACAGTGAGACCCCCGTTCTTTAAAAACCAAGCCGATTCACTCTTGGGGCTACTGCGCGGCTGACTGCGCAGGTTGCGCATGCGTAAGGGGTCAAACATGACCATTAGCCCCCGCCCACTTTAGAAAAAGCGTTTTACTGCAGATAAACAAACTTGTCTTTAAGAAGTCTTGCAAGTCAAGAAAATACTTTAGATATTAAGAAAATACTTGAGATATTGAAAATTTTCGAAGGATATCTTTTTTGTAGAAAAAAATCTCAATAATTGGCTATATTTCTTCGATTTAAAGAAGGTATGACTAGAGTTTGAGATTAATTCCTCGTTTTCTGTTTTTTATCAATAGAATTGAGTGAAGTCTTGTGGTCAATGGTCATGAGGAATGGCCTGGCTCTGGAAAAATGGTACGGCGGCATCTTTCTGTGGTTTGTCTTCGCCATGTGGGCAGTCCTCACTGTTGGAATTCTCGTACTCATGGAGGGGCTCTCAGCCTTCCTCCATACACTTCGTCTCCATTGGTAAGGATTTATCAACAAAATAATAAAATTATTTCCCTGAGATAAGGAGGGGGAGGGAAAATGCTCGGGAGAATGAAAAATAATTTCTGTTGATTTTTTTATTACAGGGTGGAGTTCCAGAGCAAATTCTACTCTGGTCTGGGCTACGGTTTCACTCCATTCTCCTTCGAGATCATCTTGGATACAGCCCAAAACACCGTTGAAGTTGACTAATCACTCCGATGATACTATAAAAAAACTTTAATCCATGTTTTGCTGGTAGAATTGATGTAATGGAGTGTTTCGAACTCAATAACATAATTTCCTCGATTTTTTTGTTAAAAAAAAACACTTCTGCTTCTGTAATGTTCTGCAGTTGAACTTAAGAGATGATGGGTAATTAGAGAAAAATATAACGCTGCCAAAATATATCGACATTGAACTCTTTGAGAGCCGATAATTCCTGTAGATCTGATGTTTCCTATCTGTTAAGCATTTTAATCTATTTATGCATGTCTTGAACAAACATTAATGGCAACATGTACGTTAGCGCGTTGATTGAATAAACTCTGAGAGCAATGGAATGGGCATTCCATCCTTTATTATCCTAGGTCATCTTTGCGGATCACAAGGCAGTCTTTTTAGTATTGGAAGCCAATTCAGATTTTTTTTGTGATACGATCTCAATTTAAATTTTTGTTTTCTGGATCTTTTGATTTCTTGAATGACGCAGGACTTCTCCATTTTTACACAGAGCGAATGTTTATCGAGTGATTGTGCTATCAATAATCGCTTGACTGCATAACGTTTGGAATAAAACTCCTTGTGTTTAAGGAAACGCTTGAATTCTACATTCATTCCTTTAATTTCGTCTTGAAGTTCTCAATTCAGAGCACCAACTGGAGGCAAAGGGATTTCGATTGTTTTTAAATTGGAAACGAAATTTATAAAAATTCTTTAAAAGATGTGACGTCTCATAGAATCACTTTTTCTCATAAATTTTCGCCATGAGACGAATTTTTTTTTGTACTCGTTATAATCTTCCGCGTAATCAGCCGTACAGAATTTAAAATTACTCATTTGCTTGTGCTAAATAAAAAATAAAAAATGAGTCATTCAAAAATAAAAATTTCGTTTTTTTAAATTTTTATTTCACGAAGACCCAACAGCACTAGGTCAACGACCGCATCAAATTAAATAGACATAAAATTAACCATTGAAATTAAGTTTGATAAAAATGCTCATTCATGTGTGCATTAAAGGAATAAATTGAAAAACCAAAATCCCCCAAATCGAGTTATTCTAAAACGAAAAAACTCAGGATCATATTTCATCGCAAATTTTCGCGATAACTTGAAGAAATTTTTTTGTATTCGTTATAATCTTCCGTAAAATCAACAGTACGGAATGCAAAATTACTGAACTCCTTCTGTTGAATTAAAAACAAGTCATTCAAAAATTCAAATTAAATACCCATAAAATTAAACATTGAAATTATCAATACATTAAGTTATGAAAAAATACTCATTCATGTGTGCATTAAAGGGATAAATTGGAAAACCAAAATCCCCCAAATCGAGTTATTCTAAAACGAAAAAACTCAGGATCATATTTCATCGCAAATTTTCGCGATAACTTGAAGAAATTTTTTTGTATTCGTTATAATCTTCCGTAAAATCCACAGTACGGAATGCAAAATTACTCAACTCCTGTTGAATTAAAAATGAGTCATTCAAAAATTCAAATTCAAATTAAATACCCCTAAAATTAATCATTGAAATTATCGATACATCAAGTTAGAAAAAAAATCCGCATTCATGTCTGCATGAACGGAATAAATAGAAAGAAAATCTGGTGTTCGGAGTGAATTTTACTGCTCAACAGAACCGGCAATCCCTCCCATTTTTAAATAAAAAAACCGGGTTTATCGGCTTACTGTCCTCCGGTCGATTCCCCACATCGGCGGTGGTCACATGGGCCCCCACCCCCTCGAATTCCACCCCTCCTCGCCGCAGACTCAGTCGACTGATGCGCGGCTCCAGTCGCTCGTCAGCCTCGAGATCGACCGGTTCGCGTTTTCGTCGAAATAAAAAATCCTCCAAGTTAATTCATATCTTTTCGCATTCTTCATTCACGCGGGTCGTTATCAACAATAATGGCGGTTAAAAACCAAGTCTGCATCATTGGCTCCGGAAATTGGTGAGTGATATGCGATTATTCCCGGAGAATAATGTTTTTCGCGGATGTTTTGGAGCTTTGGAGGGAAATACGTCTCTCCGTTATTTTGGAGCGGGGGATTTTCGTCTGGGGGTGGAATACAGGGCATTGCGGGATTGGGGAGGCGTGTGGAGTACAGTCCCAGTGGAAATTCACTCGCCAGTAGAAAATGCCGTTTTCGTGTTCACGTGGACTCGGGCTAACGTGTCCCTGACCTTTCCACTTTAATCCCGCATGCAGGACCGGAAGCTCGTGGCTCTTCACGAGACATGCTGACTCGCCAAATTGATTATGATTGGGACTCGGTGGGCCTCGATGGTGAGGGGTCCATCGGATCTATCGGACTCATAAATCTCGGAGTTTGAGGGAAACTTGTTTCACAAGGCATTATGTAAGGTGCAGGTTTTATTTTTAAAGGGGACGACGTGGAGTTGAAAGATTGTTGGTAAATTTAGATCGGATTGTGGGGATTATTCATATTTCTACAATAGGTTTTTTTACTGCGTGATGTTTCATTGGGTGAATGGGGAATCGTCATTCTGATAATTTCTTATTTTGATGATTGCGGAATGGGAAAATTGGGTGAGGATTGCTTTAATTCGCTTTGGTGATCTCCAGTTATGGAAAATTAGGGTCGTAAGATCGGGTGACAGGTGTGAACATTTTTTAGAGTATCAGAAAGTAATTAAATTTGGGGGAAATGGAAGAACTTATTGTTTTATTCAGATTATTTACATTACAGATACAGAGATCATTTATATTTCTACAATAGGTTTTTTTACTGCGTGATGTTTCATTGGGTGAATGGGGAATCGTCATTCTGATGATTTTTTATTTTGATGTTTGGGGAAAGGGAAAATTGGGTGAGGATTGTTTTAAGTCGCTTTGATGATCTCCAGTTATGGAAAATTAGAGACGGTTCATTTTTTAGGGTCGTAAGATCCGGTGAGAGGTGTAAACATTTTTTAGAGTATCAGAAATTAATTAAATTTGAGGGAAATGGAAGAACTTATGGTTTTATTCGTGCATTTCAGGGAGAATTGATTTGGACATTTCATTTCTTACTTTGTTTACGAATTTCGAGGGGGAGGAGGAGGATGGAAATGAAAAATTAACGAATTTCCTCACTCACAACAACGAAGTTAATTGAATGCGAATGTAATAGAAGAAATTATCTCTTCATTCAGCATCTGTGAAATTCAAGTGGATGAGGAAAATTGGATATTCTCAATTCCCCGGAATTATATTATCTAACGACACCATTCGCCTGAACGTATAAAAATTATTATTATTTTTTTAAAGTTAGATTATGAAATTCCCCTTCGCTTATCTCCAATCACAGAGAATGAAAAATGACCCATTTTCTCCATTCCAAAAAACTTGCGAGACTCGAAAAATTACTGGAGTCATTGGAAATTGTCTGAACGTGACTGAAAAACGTAAATATTTGATGATCATTGTCTGTCAAATTCATTGGTTGAAATGGGATCGAAAAAACCTCGACTTCAAAGTGTAAAAAAATTTTTTGCAATGAAAAATCCTTCAACCATGAATGAAAAAAGATCCAGAAATCATCACAACAAAAAATTCAAAGAAATGTTCACATTTCTAAATGCAGGGGTTCGGCAATAGCGAAAATCATCGGTGCAAATACAGCGAACCTGGAGAATTTCGAGGACCGAGTGACCATGTACGTATACGAGGAAATAATAGACGGGAAAAAGCTCACCGAAATAATCAACGAAACCCACGAGAACGTCAAGTACCTTCCAGACCACAAACTCCCGGAAAATGTCGTAAGTAATCTCAATTCCTGGAAGCCAAGGAAAAACCCACCCCTTCGTTCACTTGAGCATGAGAATTGTCCTTGACTTCTGCTCACCTGAGAGACCTCCTCAGTCTTACTCAATCGATCCCCCGCCCCCGCAACTCTATTCACCTATTTCCAAACCCAATGAACATGATGGAATTGCCATAGTTACTTGTTTTATCTCAAAAAATTGAATTTTAGTCGTAAACTGCAATGTCACAGCATTTAGCGCATTTAGCGCGTGAATTCTATAAATCACGTTTGTATCACGTGTGGATATGTCTGTGTACGTAAGTGTTATGATTTTGTAACATTTCAAGACCAGTTGATACCATTATCTACTAGAGGAATAAACAAGTCGGGGTTCGAGTTATTTTTTAAGAAAGAAAAAAACAAAATTTGAATTTATTTCGTCTTGTGTTATGACTAAAATGCACATTTTTCTATTTATAATTAATTAATAACATCGTTATACGGTAGTACACATTGTAGCAATTGTTGAGTGTAAAACTGAGTTCAATTTTCTATCGGAGGAACACAATTTTTATTTTTATTTTTTTCAGTAAAAATTGTGGGAGATGAATTCTCCTATTTATTTTCTAGGATTTTATGACGGAAGAAATAAATTTCTATATGAAAAAATGTCAAGAGAGTAAGCCACATTCACAAATAAAAATCAATTGTATTTTTCCTATCGAATCTTTAATATATTAAAGATATTTAAGAAAAATATATTCTATAGAAATCGATGAAGAACAAGTGGAATATATATCTTTTGATCCCATAAAATGCATTACATTTTTTAATATTTTCATAAAAAAGCTGACTTGCATCTTGTGTCTTGCGTTACATGAAATTATTCACGGGAAATCGATCGGCTATATCGATAGATTATCGTACGTGGGTCCGTGAAAAGGAGAGAGTTTCGAAAAGCTGAAATTTTTTCCGGAAGTAGTAAAGGCCAAGCGAGTCTGTCCACAGTTTTACCGCGCTTTCACATCGACGCAGCGCGAGCCTATCACAGTTGTATGAAAGCTCGGGTATTTATACAAAGAGTTGTTCTGCGCATCTAGGAAATACGAATTGTATAGTAGACCCCATTTAACCAGTTGATAAATCGAATCGAGAGATAAGAGTAGAAAATACATCGTCATAACATGCCCTACACTTGTGCAATCATCGATAATGATTGAGTGATCTCAACGACTTGGAAAGTTTTCGTCTCGAGGATTAAAAAAATTGTGATGAAACATTATTTATGATGAACAGATTAAATGATTTCGATAAAGAGTAACTGCAGAAGAAAATGTCAAAGAGAATTTCTCGTAGAAAATTTTCTTCAGCTGAAAAAATAATCTTTTGACATTTTCCACTAAAATGAATGCGTCACAAGATGAATAAACGATTTTAAAGAATGTCAAATTTCCATGTTTATTCCTAGCATTTCACTTTTAATCTCATTAAAAATGGAAATTTATTCACATGAAAAAATAAATTATTGCAGAAATCAATTCTGAATTATTGAGGATTGAAAAATAATGAAATGAATGGATGATATTTTGTAATTTTTGTTCAGAAAATTGAAAATCCTATTAAAAATATAAACAATAGTCGATAATAAATGCTGACCATTCAAGGTAGCAGTACCAGACGTAGTGGAGGCAGCAGCGAACGCAGATATCCTAGTGTTCGTAGTTCCCCACCAGTTCATACGTCGGATATGCAGCACATTGCTGGGAAAAATAAAGCCCACAGCTGTCGGCTTGTCCCTCATCAAGGTAAAGATTACAAAAACCTCAATTACATTCTCCAGTGATGCAGAACATGATTCTACGAATGTATTTAATCTCCTCAGGGTTTCGACAAGAAAGAGGGGGGTGGAATCGAATTAATCTCCCATATAATAGCTGCAGAGCTCAACATACCCATGGCTGTACTTATGGGTGCTAATTTAGCCTCCGAAGTCGCCGATGAGATGTTCTGCGAGACTACTATAGGTGAATAGCCATTTTAATTCAGCAAAAAATTTATGAATTTATTTATAAATTTAATTCATTAATTTATTGAATTAATTAATTAATTAATAATTTATTTGTTTTGCTATTTAAATTCATTTTTTCAATTTTCTATAATATAATTGTCAATTAAAATTGACGTCTATATGTGAATAAACATTTTAATTTATCAAACGGATTTATTTTTTCAATTTACCAAAATGGAATGAATAAAATCGCGAAGTGAATGTTTTAATGAACGAAAGTCATTGGAATTTGATCAGACTTTATTAATTGCTTTGTCATTTTGATTAATCAACAACGAAGAGGGGGTTTCACTTGCAATTGAATGTCCAAAGTACAAAATCACTCGCTAATACTTTGAAACGTTTAGGTTGTAAGGACAAGGCCGTTGGTACTGTGCTGAGAGATATGATTCAGACGTCATTCTTCAGAGTCGTTGTTGTTGATGACGTGGACTCGGTCGAGTGCTGCGGTGCTCTCAAGGTAATTCACACAGGCAATTTTTTTGCATTACATTGTGAAACGGTGAGGAATTGAATGTAAATGGTCTAGTTTAATGTTGAAATAATGGTTTCGAATCAGTCGTAATTTTTGAAGAACATCAACTTTCATTTTTTTATGTCTTTCATTATTTGATTTTATTCTTTATTTTTTAAAATAATTTTTAATGCAAAAAGAAATTCTTATGGTAATGATGACATCAGATAATTATTGGAAAAATTATCAATGTAAACTTTGAGAGTCTAAATTCAACTGAATATTCTATTTTTATTTGTGTTTCAAGTAAATTTTGACCCTCAATAAGAGAATTATTTGACTTTTTGCTTCTGTAATTTTTTTTTCTACAATATTATAATTTTTATTGTGATTTTTAAATCTTCATTTGTATTTTGTTGCATTTCAGAATATTGTAGCTTGTGGTGCTGGTTTTGTCGATGGCCTGGGCCTCGGAGACAACACGAAAGCTGCTGTCATTCGGCTTGGACTCATGGAGATGATTAAATTCGTCGATGTGTTCTTCCCCGGGGGTAAATTGAGTACTTTCTTCGAGAGTTGTGGAGTCGCTGATCTAATCACCACGTGCTACGGTGGGAGGAACAGGAAAGTTTCTGAGGCCTTCGTTAAGACAGGAAAGGTGAACATTTCAATTTAAAATATTCAGAATTTCGAAATGTAAATTTATTCATATGAAAAAGTATTCATTCAATTCAATTAATCTATTTCTTTCACGTTACAAAAGTTGTTTCTTTAGTTCACATCAGCACCCACGTGAAATAATAAATCATTACAAAAATCAATTCTCGATTATTCAGGGCTGAAAAATAATAAAATGAGTGGATGTTTTTTTTAGACAATCGAAGAATTGGAAAGAGAAATGCTGAATGGCCAGAAGCTCCAGGGGCCCTTCACAGCCGAGGAAGTCAACTACATGCTCAAGCTCAAGAACATGGAGTGCAGATTTCCACTATTCACAGCCATCCACAGAATCTGCGTAGGGGAACTAAAACCAAGTGATCTCATTGACTGCATTCGCAGCCATCCCGAACACATGTAAGCTCAAAAAAAAATTAGAAAGGAAAGGTGTTGGGTCAGTCTGGTGGAAGGAGGGGAATTTTTCCCGGTGTAATGTCTCAAACTGCTATTGGAAGAGAAGAAGTCAAGTCCTTTGCTGTTCTGCTTGCCTTTAATTCTCGTCGAGCTGCATCGACAGTTTCATTGTTACTATTAATTAATTTTAACTACTGTTTTGTATAGATTATGTATGTCAGGGGAATATTTCTGGATGGAAATTCCTTTTTGCTTCCGAATGGAAGCATTGTTTTGTTTTAATCAGTTGATAGATTGTCTTTAGTTGAGAAAACAAAATATTTTGTTCTCTAGAAATGAGAAAGAACAATCGTGAGCATGAAGTGAATATTCCAGGTTTGTTTAGATGAATAACAAGAGAATTCTAGATTTTTTTCCCAATTGACGACGGAAAATTCAACTAGGTAATTTCTATTTTAATTCATTTTCATGTCGTCTTAGACGTCACTTCAAAATTTTTTTAAAGTAAATCTAGAATGTGAAATGACATTCAAGAGAATTGTCTTGCATCAATCTGGTGGGAGGAGTTCTTTCTGTTCTGCTTGCTTTTAATTAATTTTTCACTATTCTATCCGTTACTTTTAATTAATTTCAGCTATTGTTTCTCCTCTGGAACTTGTGAATGTAAATATGTACGAGTAGCTGTAGATTATGTACATTAGGAAAATATTTCTAGATGGAAATTCCTTTTTTTTTGTTTTAATCAGTTGATCGATTTTTTTAATTGAGAAAAAAAAATGCTTTCACTCTTTAGAATTGATAAAGAACAATCACGGTGATGAAAGGAGTATTCCAGGTTTGTAGACAGCCTTATAGATACTATCGACACCAAACAAAATGAGAATTATAGATTTTTGCCCAATTGACGATGAAAAATTCAACTAGATCAATTCTATTTTAATTAATTTGTCGTCTGAGACGTCAACTATTCTTGAAAGTGATTTTAGAATGTGAGACGAGATTTGAGGGAACTGTTAAATGATCTGTTATTGATTGACGAATGTATCGGAGATAAATATATGAGTATATCGTCTGTTAAGAAATCTCTGAAAATCCATCAACAAAATTCCCTCAATCACTGAAAAATACTATCGTGCACGTTTCTATCCTCTCCTGCTTGTTCTAGTCATTCTTCTCCACGAAATTTATTCATATTTTTTTATCGCATTTCATTCATATTTAGGTACGGCAACGAGAACATCCCACCCATGTGTCATCTCTGAGGATACGATAAAGGGAAGAAGATTTGTTAGGAGAGGAATCCAGAGAAGATATATTTTTGTTGTAACATATCCCACTAAAAACCTCCAAAGAGAACAATATTTTTAAGGAATGGATTATTACATGGAACAATAACGCAAAAATAACAGCGGAAAATAAGAAATGAAAACTGAATTTATACGGAAGTGATGTGTTCATTTAATGCGAAAATAATACTGATTGTTAAATTGTTGATAATGCTGATTTTCTGTTGAAAAATCAGAATGAAATTTTTTAAAAATCGAAATTGATAGAAAATTTCACCGAACATTCCAAGGGGAAATTGTGGAAGTGTTTGAAAATCTTTCATGGGGAATTTTCATGGATTTTGTTACTGAAAAATTAGTAAAATTCATGAATAATTGAATGGATAATACTTTAAAAAAACTTATTTTAATTGATATTTCAAAATTGTTAAAATATCTGACAACTGGTTCACCTGGAATTTTAATAGATTTTGTAATTGATGAATTTATTTAATTTAATGAATATTCAGACAAAATTTGACTTTATTTAATGAGATGATAGAAATCATCAGCAACTATGAAAAATCAGGCCAATGCAGACTTTAATTCCACTAAATCAGAAAAAGAACAATTAAAAATCGTCTAATCCCCCAAATAATTCCAAAATACTTCTCATTTTCATTCAATACCACAAAAATACTATCAGCTCCTATAAATACGAGAAAAACCTTGTCAATGAACCACGAAGAATACCCCCGACAATCCCCGAACTAAAATGTCAATGTCACAACATCATCACATCAAATTTGTAAAGAAAACATTTTTAATTATCATAGGCTCGTTAAATATACCCGTCCCGCCCACCGGCACCCGACTGGTGCCATGAGGCATAATTTTTCCTTGGAGATGTTCCAAGACTTGCGCATGAAGACTAGAAAGAACAAAACCCGCTCGACAAATCGTTCCTAAGGTCAATGGTGAGCCTGAAGTGAGCCAGTCATCAATCGGCACTGCAAGAAGAGGAAGAGATCGTTTTCAGTCGCTCTAATCAGTTGATCTCAAATTAACTCGCCCATTTTTCCAATCGACTCTTTAATTCCGTTTTCGATTTTAAATAGTTAAAATCCAGAAACATGAGTAAGAAGAGGGTCTGCATCGTTGGAAGTGGAAACTGGTAAATAAGAAACTCATTAGATCGTTAACGAATGCATCAAACGCGCCTGCTGGCAATGAATGCTAATTTATTACCAAAACTCTTGTTTATAATCATCTCGTAACGTCACTTTTAATGCTTTGGCATGGACGGAGGCATCAAGGTGACATTTGCATTCAAGGAGATGATGAAGTTGCTCGCACCAAACATGTTCTTTCGAAAATACGATAATAAACTAAGAACGGAAATGAATTCAGCAGTGAAACTGTAAAACAGTTTAAGTAGATTTCAACCATTGCTCCGTTTTCAATGGATATCTCGGAATCTAAGGGAGAGAGGAATATTTTTGTAAGGACCTTTTTTGTAGCACTCAACTCGACCTACAAAAAAGGTCATGACGAAAATTTTGTTATCTTCCTTACATTCGGAGATATTCCTCGAAAACTCCGCTGAGAGTTAATCCCCCGATTCGCACAGATCGAGTTTATTCTCAACTTCATTTGCATTTTTAATTTTTTGAGCCGCGCCTTGAGGTTTTAATTATCAGGGAATAATGAGGATTGTTGTGGCAGGGGCTCGGCAATTGCCAAAATTGTGGGAGCCAACACTGCCAAACACAGTGACAAATTCGAGGAAAAAGTCACTATGTACGTGTATGAGGAGATGATCAATGGGAAGAAGCTCACGGAGATTATTAATGAACAGCATGAGAATGTTAAATATCTGCCGGGGCACAAGCTACCAGCAAATATCGTAAGTATTCACACATCTTCAATTAAAAGAATCAATGGATTTTAATCTGGAATTCACTTTTTTCTTAATTTTTTTATTGTTTTATTACTATCAATTTTTGTAGAAAAAATCTCCATAGAATTTTTTGCTGGAAAAACAATGAATTTTTTGATAATTTTTTTCCTATAGAATTTTATTCTCAATTAATTTAAGTCGATTTAGGCCTCAGCTGAGTTTTTGCGGAATATCTCTGAATTTAAGGGAGATACACAAATTTTTGTAATGACCTTTTTTGTAGGCCGGATTGAGGGCTACAAAAAAGGTATTAACGAAAATTTTGCTATCTCCCTTAGATTCCGAGAAATTCGCTGAAAACTGACTGATAGTCAAAATACTTGAACCGTTTTGAAAAATTCAATTGGATTTCTGCATGTTTGAGGACAAAAATAAATTGCCAGAATGAATTTTTATTTACTCAATGTATTTGTGAAGTTCTTATCAAATTAGAAAAAATTGATGATAATTTTAGAGTGCACACGTGCAAGATAACTCTTGATTAGTTTCTCCGGAGTTATATGGTGAAAGTGATAAATATTTGATCCCGATGTCCTCGTTGACGCCCCGACATATGTGTGCTTATGATGATAACAGGGTGCTTCTGAATTCGTCGTTAATAATCGGTTGTTGTGCGAACGTAGACTTTTCCCGATGGCATGGCGACCTTATCAACACCACCGGGGAAAAGGGTGGGAAGGTCCTCGTCCTTGACGGTTGGCAGAATCATGACTTTATCGCCGGGCTAAAAACACAATTATCGGGGTTTTATCGTAATTTTTTTTTGGGTGGATATTAATAGTTTTGGACACTTACCATCCAGTTGGCTGGGGTGGCGATCTGGGGCTTGCGATCGACGAGTTGGAGAGAGTCAATTACACGTAAAATTTCACTGAAATTGGGGAAAAATTTAATCGTAATTGAGGATGAAAGGGGATGGGGTGGAAAATCTTTTGATTTTGTGAGTGGCTGTTTTTGAGAAATATTTTTGAGTCTAAAAGTGCAAAAGTTGAACTGTTTAGTTTTATTTTGACGGGAACTTTACTGAAAAATATTTTTGAGTCTAAATGTGTAAAAATTGCTGGTTTCGGATTATTATTTCGACGAGAATTTCACTGAAATTGAGGGGAAAATTGAACGAATTAAGAGAAAAATTTAATTGTAATTGAAAATGAGATGGAATGGGGTGGAAAATTCTTTTGTTTTACGAGTGAGTTGTTCCATATTATTATTTTTCCGCAAATTGAAAATTGAAATTGAGGGGAAAATTCCATTAAAATTGAAATTAGAATTAAATTATGCAGAAAATCCTTCTGCTTTAAACAGCGCACCTCTCTGAGAAATTTCTGAGTTTAAAAAAACGAAAATGCAGTGAAAAAATGTCTTCTGAATTAAATTTAGAGCTGAAGTTTCTCTAAGGAAAGTTTTCATAAAAATTCCCCCCGAAAGTGAATTAAAATGTTGCATTTTATGATGTTCCTGTCGAAATAACCGGAAGGGTTTGATTATGCGTTGAATCGTCTGAGACTCACTCGACATTGCGTCCAGTTGACGTCGGGTATTGCATACTGAGACGAAGACGGTGGTCAGGGCTGACGACGTAGAGTGCGCGAACGGTGATTGCATGCTCAGGATCGTCCTTCGACTGCTCATCGATCATGTCGAGCTTGACCGCCAGCGTGCGGTCGTCATCCGCCACGATGGGGTATGGGAAGGCCCCGGGAATGTCTTGGCAGTAGTTTTTGATGTCCTGAACCCCAAAAAATCAAAAATAAATTTTTAAACCCCTCAGAATTGAAAATCATTCCAGCGAAATAATGAAACGTCTGAGGAATATCTCTGAATTTGAGGCAGATGGCATGAGTAATATAAAAACCTTTATTATTTTATTATTTCATTAGGAGAGGTTGGGGTAAAACGGACACTTTTGACTTTTTTTAAATGTTAATGAGGGGTTGAAATGTTGATACAATTTAATAGCTTTTCTTTCAACACAAAGAACAATTCTTTCCCTTTGCGACGAGCCTAAACTGCGCTCAATTGATCAATTTGTTTCTGAGTTATGAATAATTTTTAAAAAGTTTAAAGTGTCCGTTTTACCCCACCCTCCCCTATTTGATTATTCATTATTTTATTATTCTATTATAATTGCTATTTCTTATAAATTTTGGAATTTTTCAAAAATACCAACGCGTTTTTAATAAAAAATGTCCAATAGTTACTATTTCATAGAAAAAATCAGTAGAATTTTATCTTTCTGTAGAAATTCCTCGACAGAAATTTTCCAAGGTTTTCCTCTCTATTTTTCATCTCTTCTAATAAAAAAAAATCAAACAAAATTCATCGAAAATTTGATTAGGGAAATTACTATAGAAAATATCTCAATGGAATAGTGGAATAAATTAAATAAATTGTATAGAAAAATCGAATTCTACTGATTTCTTCTATAGAATATTCTCCATTGAACATTTTTTTATAAAAAAAACGTAGAGCGCAATTTTTTAGTGCAAACATTCCGTGCATAAAAAATTATTTTCTCATCCGAAACAATCAATACATCTCTCATTAAAAGACTCACATTGACCCAATCGACATGGTCCTTGAGCTTGTCCACCGAATGTGCCAGGAGTTTGACATTCCTCTTTTGAAACTCGGGCTGATGGACAGCAATGCGACCAAGCTCAGTAGTGCACACCGGTGTAAAGTCTGCTGGGTGTGAAAATATAACTACCCACCTGTTGAATCAACAGCCGTGTTATTCAATCGAATCGCAATGTTCAATACAACCGTTGAGTTAAGGATCGCATGGGTGATCTTAAAATGAGAGTGAATGTCAGACGAATTGGCAAGAGGCCGATGCGGTATTGGCCCAGTTGAGTCGAGGACGAGTTTTAATGTACTTTTACGCAATTTATGCACTTCCCAGAGATTATTTTATGACTGGGCCCATTCGTGGGGGCCAATTGAATGTAAACGGTTGTAAGGGACGATGAAATGCATTATTTTTCGCATTCCTCCATCCTTTTATATTTTTAACTGCATAAAGGATGAAAAGATTAAATTTTATGAATTGAGACTTTCGAATAATTATTGTAAAATCATTATTGTAATAGAAAAACCCAGCAAATTCGTTATCAGAGCTTTCTATTAGTTTTTGGCCGATTCTATTGAATATTTTCTATTAAAAATTTCAATAGAATCGACCGAAAAAAAAAGAAAAAGTCAATAGAATTCGATTTTTCTATATACCTTATTGTCTTCAGATATTTTCTAAGGAAAAAAAAAATATATATAAATATCTTCAGATTTTTTCTAATTTCCTCGGTTCAAATTTTCTAAGTTTTTTTTTTCATTCTATTTTTCTTCTCTTCTCATCAAGAAAATTAAACAAAAAAACTTGGAAAATTCGAGGCGAGGAAATTCTATTGACCATATCTCAATAGAATAAGGTGTATAGAAAAATCAAATCCTTTTGACTTTTTCTATTTACACTTTTTCATCGATTTCGAGAAAAAAACTGAAATTTCCTCTTATTGAGTCCAGGACGAGTTTTAAAGCACTTTTACGCAATTTATGTACTTCCTGGAGATTATTTTATGACTGGGCCCATTCATGGGGGCCAATTGAATATAAGCGGTTGTAAGGGAAGATGAAATGCATTATTTTTCGCATTCTCCCAAGGAAAGCATTGAATTTTATGAATTGAGACAATTGGAAATTATTATAAAATCGTTATTGCTGTATTTGAATGACTTACGAGTCTCCCTGCCACTCATAAAAGTCAATGGGACCCTGTGTGGTCTCAGCATGGAAATTAGGAACGATCGAGTTCAGCCTCATTTCGATAAAAAATATTGAAAATCTCTCTTCACTGTGCGAATGCCCAAGATAGACTGTTACTAACCGACTGGCAGTTCCAGCTATTTAAGGGAGAACAAGTGTCACTACTTGTGTGAGCTCTGATGAAATACCCAGACTGGAATTGTAATACCCCCACTACGTGATAAGGTGTTGTCAACCGAGGTGCGATGCAGCTTATTTTAATCGCCGAAAATCTTTTGCAAAAATAATATGATGGCATCAATATTATAATTTCGAATTTCATCGGTCTTTTTGTCAATAGACTATTCGTAAGGATCGCTATTTTTATTCGCGAACATAAAAATAAAGCGTTAATAAATTAAAATGCATCAATTATTTTTTTTTTCGATGAAAAAATTTAATTTCAGAAAAGAATTGAGTAGAGAATAATATTATGCGACCAATACTACAATTTCAAATCCCATCGGTCTTCTTATCAATAGAACATTAATAATGATCGCTATTTTTATTCGCCAAGAATCCAGTAAAAAATAATGTTATGACATCAATACTACAATTTCAAATCTTATCGGTCAGTAGAATATTCGTGATGATCGATTTTGTTCTTCGCGAACAGAAAAATGAAGCATTAATTAATTTTTCTAAATGAAAAAAATTAATTTTAGAAAAGAATTGAGTAAAAACAATATTAAGACATCAATACTACAGTTTCAAATCTCATCGGTCTTTTTGTCAATAGAATATTCGTGAGGGTGGATTTTGTTATTCGCCAACAGAAAAATAAAACATTAATTTTTTTTTCCGATGAAAAAATTTAATTTTAGAAAAGAATTGAGTAAAAAATAATATTATGAGATTTGTGCTACAATATTTAAATCTCACCGATCTTTTATATCAGCCGAAAATTCGTCACGATTCGTCACCAGAAAAATGAAGCGTAAATGGGTTTGTTCGCCGGAAAAATTTAATTTCAGAAAAAAAATTGTGGAATAGTGTTGTATGTGATTGAGTGCGCATCCGCTTTTTGAATTTTATGTAATCCTCGCACGTCTCTCAAATGCACACGGAAGCACGTTCGAGATCCCTTGTGCCAAGTTGCGACGGGTTCTTCAGCATTTGCTGATGAACAAAGTCGGGCCGAATGGCTGCATTTGACTTTCATCGGGTTGTTAATTTTTTCAATCAACAGGTTGCGGTTCCCGATGTCGTGGAGGCTGCCAAGGAGGCTGACATCCTCATTTTTGTAATTCCTCATCAGTTCATCAGGGGTCTTGCCGCTGCTATGCTGGGGAAGATCAAACCTGATGCTGTTGGGCTTTCGCTGATTAAAGTAGGAATATTTTGAGTTATTAAACTCATGTGAACGATAGGTTTTTATGTTTTCAGAAATATTTTGTTAATATTTTTTGCAGAATTTTCTATAGAAAAATTGAATTCTATTTATTTTTATTGTTGAATAAATTATTCTTATGATTCAATTCATAATAATTGTTATTATTAATTTAATAATAAATATAATTAATTATAATGATTGTAACAATTATGATTTGTTATGATTGAATAATAACAAGCATTATTATTAATTATAATGATTATTATTAATCATAATAATCATATTAATCAATCATTATTAAGTAATAAAATCAATAAGAATCATTATAATCAATACCAATGCTTGTTATTATTCAATCGAAAAAAAAAGATAATTTTTAGAATAATTTCACACGTTTTGATTTTTTTCTAATATTTGTTAAGAAATAATTTTTTAATGTTCTTCCTCCAGGGTTTCGACAACTCCGATCCAAAAAATATTCAACTGATCTCAAAGGTCGTCACAGAACACCTGAAAATTCCCTGCTATGTCCTGATGGGTGCAAATCTCGCGAATGAAGTTGCGGAGGAAAAATTCTGTGAAACGACAATCGGTAATTAATTCCTCAATCAATCCAGTCTCTATTGTTTCTGTGGGTCAAGGGGATCGAGCAAACAGGAAGAATCCTCTCGATATTTCCTGTTATCTCAGATAATTGGGAACTGATTAGGGAGTCTTGTTCACTTCGGTAATGCTTACAGGCTGCAAAGATAAGCGCCTGGCACCTGTTCTCAGAGACATGATTCAGACACCCAATTTCAGGGTTGTGGTAGTGGACGATCTCGAGGCTGTGGAGGTCTGTGGAGCGCTGAAGGTATTTTTGGGAGTGCAATTGCTTTTTTACAATATTGCCGGATTGCAGTTCAAGTGATGCACTTGAACTGAATAAAACTCTTCATTTGACATTTTTGTTTCAATGAAAGTGCTTAAATTTTGGGGAATGAATAATTCGCAATGGAAATTTTTATTAATTTCTTGATAACTATTCCTAATAATCACTTTTTCAAATTATTTCCTAAGAACTAATAATTATTCTATCGAACTCTCTATTCATTTTTAGTCAATTCTGTTGAAAAATTTTGCATCTCATCTGCGTTTTTTCATTTGATGTTCAGTGGGAAATATTTTAAAGAAAAAATAATTTGAATTTAATTTTTCCATATAAATTATTCTATTGAGATATTTTCTATAAAAATACCTCGGAATTTTTATCCCGATAAAAAAAATTTAATTCCATAAAACGAATGAAACTTTCATAAATTGAAAATAATAATAATAATAATGATAATAATAATAATAATAATAGTAATAATAATAATAGATAAAAACTAATTTTAATTCATTACAAATCATTATTAGAATAACAATAATTATCAAATAATTAAATAATAGTAATAATGATTTAATTGTTCTATTTAATTGTTATCGTTAGAACCATTTTATCTTCATTTCAGAATATTGTGGCGTGTGCTGCTGGCTTTGTGGACGGTCTCTCCCTCGGTGACAACACGAAAGCAGCTGTCATCAGGCTGGGACTAATGGAAATGATTAAATTTGTTGACACATTCTACGGAGGATCGAAATTATCAACATTCTTCGAGAGCTGTGGAGTTGCTGATCTCATTACCACTTGCTACGGTGGAAGGAATCGCAGGGTGTGCGAGCAGTTCGTTAAAACAGGAAAGGTATTAACAATTAATTGAACAATAATAAATAGCCAATGACTAAATCTTTAAATTCTGTGGAAATATAGAGACATCTCAGTTGCAATTGAATTAAATGAAAATGAAGGATGAATTAATTAAATAAAAATGTTGGAATAAATAGAATGAAAAAATGTTTTGCAGACAATTAAAGAACTCGAAGATGAACTTTTGGGTGGGCAGAAGCTCCAGGGGCCAGCGACCGCCGAGGAAGTGAATGGAATGTTGAAATCCAAGAATTTAACGGACAAATTTCCCCTATTCACAGCTGTTCACCGCATCTGCAGCAAGGAGCTCAAAGGATCAGACCTGATCGATCAAATTCGCAATCATCCGGAGCACCAGTCAGTACATTTGCACTTTGATATCAAGATAGTTTGGTGGTTTTTGAATCTGCCAAAATTATGATTTAAGTGACTCGATTTTTCACAAAACGAATAAATACGAAAAACTGCTTTCTCTATTGAAATGTTTTTTTTTTCCACTCAATTGAGAGTCTCACCCCGTAGATGAATGTTGAACTAAAACCACCAAACTTACTGGATTGAAAAATTGAATCACTCGTTTTTCAACTAATGCTCCATTAATTGTTGTAGTTAAATAGTCTTTTCTACTAATTTTTCATTCACTGTGAATAGATTTGCACCGATAAACCTGTATGTTTATTAACCCTGTAGAGGAGACTGATTAATAAAAATATTAGATTCCGAGTACTAGACTAGGATTCTCCCTGCATGAAAAAAATTGTGCAATTGAGGTAAGAATAAAACCCCCATTTGATAATTAAAATAGAAACGTCGAGTGCATACGTATTTTTCTTTAATTTCAGAGCTAACTTGGCAGCAGCTTGAGAATCCAAATAATCGAATGAATTAAATCCCATTGCTCAGAATTTTAATAAACTCACTAGGTCGAGAGATAATTGTATAAGCGAGGTCAAACCAGGGCGAGAAAATGAACGAAAGTATTGTAAATAATGATAAATAAATAAGTATTATTGTTACTGAAGATTACTCTCTTCTTTAATTCTACCAGTTTATTGTGATAATAAAATAATTTGGGGAAATACGAATTGTTGGAGTTATGTCTTGACTTTTGGCCCACCACATCTCCTTCCAGAGGTGGGCAAGGGTGTTCCTGGGACTGGAAAGTTATCGATCAGATGTTCCTCCTTGATTTTCAGTTCGTATCTCCCAGGCGCTTTCTCCACAGCTTGAACTACCGACGTCCGAAGCTCATGGTCCACATCCAGAGCAAATTTATTCAACTAAAATGAAAAAAAAATGGCATGAAACGAGTTTCAAAATAAAATTAATTAATTTGAGTTAATCTCAGGTAATTTTATATTTTTTACCTCAACTATGGCATCTTGATCGGTCACATGTTTATATTTTCTGTATTCGTCATTAATCTTCTGTCTAGTGACTGGACAATAACGAAATTTAAGTTATTAAATTTTAAAAACATTAAATATTAATTTCTTACGCGAATAGATGACGAAATAATTGGGATTCATGGCCGAGCAAAATTATTCTCAATTAAATGATGTTATTTATGATTTTTTTAAATGTTGATTAATATCATTAGATGAATTTTCTTACGATTGAGAGACTTTTCATCTCCTTCGAACGTCGACAATCTTGTTCTGTGCAGTTTTTTAAATATTTTGAGTACCTGAAATACAAAAATTCAAATATTTCCCTCCAAAACTCAGAAAAGGCACTCAACAATGCACAGAGGCAGAGATGAAGGCTTTTACGACGCATATTCGTCGTATAAAAATGAATAAATCAATGTCAATTCATCGTTGAATATTTATTACCTCCCTACGCAGCTCCCCACTCATTTCTCCTCGATGTTCGTTGAATTCCTCCGGAATAATTTACTGGAATAGTTTATCTTGAGTTGAATAATCTTCGGAGCAGACGACCCTCGTCGGCTTACCTGCTAGCAATAATGAATCTGCATGGACTCATTTATAAAAATAGAAACGATAAAATAGATTCGTAACATATGAAACAATAGGATAGATTTTTAACGCATGAAAGTAAATAAACAGAAAAAATGATGGATTACTTCCGACGATTAACCTCACACTGGTCTGGACACTGGAGCGGAAATGGCGCCTTGTAGCGGCTCAAATTTAAAGTCTAGGGATGTGTGACGTATTACCCCCTCCCCAGGCGAGTTTTAGATGCTTTTATGATGTAAACAAAATTATGAAATTAGAGAATTTTTGTGTAGAGTTCCTGACACTCTAAAAGGTGTATTTAAATCATTTATTTATAAAAAAATGTGGGTTTCGTCGTTTTCCAAATTTCACACACAGAAAATTTCTCTGAAGATAATGTCGATGCTTGTTTTGCCCCAGAGAAATGAGAAGTGGTAGGAATCTGTTGGCCTGCGCAGTTGGTAACTTTTATCTCCCCGCGGTTTGCGGCCGAATCCGAAGCTTCATTTCGAAATTTGTACAGCCGGTAACAGGAAAGGGTCAAAATAAGATAATTGAGGGTTGTATGGGGATGCGAAGTTAGGGTGCCTAATTTTTCTCCCAAAAATATACGAAACCCCATGAACCCCCTCGCAAATGAAAGGGGGTTCATGGTTTTTCACCTCTTCCCCATGAATCCCCTCGCAAATGAAAGGGGGAAGAGGTGAACAAATTTCATCCCCTAAAACTTTTCTCCGTTTTTTTGGAATACATTTCTTAAATATACCCTTTCAGTTCTGAGGAAGTTCATGGGGAAGGAATGAATATATCTCATCCCCAAAATTTTTTTGTTTCAAATTCAAAAAATTTTGAATTTTTGATTTTTTTAATTTGATTTTTCAAATACCCCCTTTCTAGTGTAGTTCGAACTCCAAAAATTAAATTGACTATTTGCCCCTCCAAAAATAAATATATTAGAAAATTTTAGTTAATTTTTTCCGGCCATTATAGCGTCTTCGGAAGATCCTGAAAAAAGTTATTCCCAGGAACGTGAGATCGACCTAGTGGTGTTTTTCTGGTTCTTATAGAAAATTTGATGACTATAAAAGTGGTACCTTGACATTTTCCTTCAAATCAACTACTTTCGGAGATATCTAAAGCAATATATTTCAATACGAATGCGTAAAAGTGTGCCGAGACGAGTACGACCCTGCTAAGGGTCAAAGAACACTTTTCCCACGAGTGTCAAACCCTATTTTTCATCACAATATGTGGAAAGCAGAATTAATGTTACATAAGGGTTTTCAAACGAATCATACTTAGGAATGAATAAATAAAAGAAATAGTTTTTGATTTTAGTTTTTATATTATAAAAATACTCATACAACATGGATTTAGTTTATCCCCAACACAAGACAAAGAAAAAGAACTGTATAATTGAAGTAATTATGAAAATCTAATTAGACCCACACCAAGAAAAGGCGTAGTGGCCTTTTGGGACTGCCTAAATTATTATTTACAAAGAAAGTATATTCAATTGACACCCCAGTGTCCAACGACGTGATAACTCGCCAGAACGTTTGACATTCTCCCTGGACGAAATTACTCAATTAACCATTTCCTACTTTACTAAGAATTCTTGCATTCTCAATGGTAAGTATTTTTCCTCGGAAATTCATCAACTCCAATATTTCAGCGTTAAACATTAACATTTGCTCTCAATTACAATGGTCTCTTTTGTAACCCATCAATAACAATTTCACTCTTATAAATATAAAATTCTAGTTTGTGAGAAACTACATATAATTAATATATATACATTAATTTGTGTCATGAATATAAGTTATTACATTATTTACTGCATTATATTTTATCTAAACGATTAACAATTTGAGCAGTGTATTTAATAAACTCATTAATATATAAATCGTTCCATTTCACTCGTTACTTTTATTCAACTCTATTCACTTCTCCATTATTCCTATGTCTAAAAGAATATACTGCACCTCATTCCAATAAAGGAAGCAAATTCATTAGAGAATTGGTAAAATAAGAAAGTTGATTTCCCTTCTGGACCAGTTTTTTTTAAATATCGAGAGATTGAAAGGAGATAATGCAATTTTTGTAAAAACAACACTGTTCAGCTTTCGGTTTTATCTGCAAAAAAATTTTTTACTGAATTTTGGATGGCTCTCTCCAATTCCCAGATATTTTCAAACAGCTGATCTCGAAGTGGAATCGGGCTTAAACATGACTTGATCTGTTGAAAATCGAATTATTTTCATAACTTATAAAAAATAAAAAATACGTGTCTAATAGTTTTCATCAAATTTTCATCCTCAGCAGTAAAAAGATTCATGCGAAAGCCCAATCGACTTATTCAGTTTTACCAACTCTATTACACTGGGTTCTAGCTCTTCAGATTAAATCCGAGTAGAGAAATAAAAATGTTCTACACTCTCTTTGGCTGATACTCCGCAGAATATCTATTTAAACTGAAGAATTTCGTGGGGACGATCACCCGTAATTATTATTTTTTTTATTTACAAAACACCTCCTTTTCCGTGATAGTATGATTTAAAGGTCAGTGATCCCATCCACTATATTCTTTAAAAATATTTGTATTCTTTAGTTCCTTGGTCCATGCCTTGATCAACCCTCTGGAAAATTCTTCTAATTAAATAAACAAAGGACTGGATGAGAATAAAAATATCTTTAAGGAATTCCAAGCCTGAAATTGTCACAACTCCAACTTTCTGTACTCGATTTTGAATGAATAAAGCTTTCTCTCTCCCTCTAAATTGCATTATTCTCTAAATGTTAATACTAAAAAGAAAGAATTTGACATGAAATTATCTGATTCGACTTTAATTTGACGTCAATTTTTAGTAAATATGTTCAGATCTGAAGGAGACAGTGGATTTTTTGAAAGAAAAACCAAAGCTACAGAGAAAGTTTCCATTATAATTTCGATATCTCCTCCAGATTCGAAGATATAGCCCAAAACTGATGCCAGAGAAAAATAAAGCCATCTTCCTGGCTTAGTTTACTGCACAATTCATCCCAAAATTACTAAAACTGGAAAAAACCTTCTCTAGGTAAAAGTATTCCATATCATAACGGTGCTGAAAATATTTCAACACCAATTGAAACTTTATCCGTCTTGAACGACGAATCATCATTTCCGAAAACCGGTTTCTAATTGATTCATTGGCTGTGTTAAAATTAATTCTACAAAATACCCGCCATCAGGGTGATCTCAATCTCACTCTTTCATCTCGTATGAACACAAACAAAAAATGTTTAAGTCTAATGAACTCAATCCAGTGGCGAAATGTTGAAATGTAACAAAGGGAATAATTTTCACCTCTCTCTCAAATGCAAACGAATAAATTTGATAAGAAAATTTAGCGAATTCGCGAGAAAATTCGATTGGACTTTTACTATTGTACTTTCTATTAGTTTTCAATCGATTTCTATTGAAAAATTCCACAGCTTATTTACTCGTTTTTTTTTCAGGAGAAATGTTCAATTGAAAACATTCTGCAGAAGAAATCAATAGAATTCGATTTATAGAATTTATTCTATTGAGATATTTTCTATAGAAATTCGTCGGCTCAAATTTTCCAAGCTTTTTGTTAGATTCTTTCAATGAGAAGAAAAGAAAAAAGTGAAAAATACTTCGAAAATTCACGTCGATTAATACCTACAGAAAATCCCGCATTAGGAAAAGTTGTATAGAGAGATGAAATTTTACTGATTTTTTATATAAAATAGTTTCTATTGGACATTCTTCATGACGATTTTTCATGCATGAATTGCATCATTTCATTTTAGAGGAAAATGTGAAAATACTTTCTTTGCTCCAGTAATAATTGTGAATTATTCCATTCTCCCTGAACATTATTTTTACAAAAATGTCTCAGAATTCAAGAGAAACAAAATTTTTCTGACAATCTATTTATAGAAGAAAATTAGAACTGCAAAAATGTTTGAACACACGATTTTCCATTTTCCTCAGACTCTGAGATATTTTCAAAGGTCGGATGTGAAAAACTTGGAGTGGAATGCAACAGAAAATTGTTCATCATTTCGTTAAAAAAATGGAGATGAAAACTTCCATTTATTACGTTTTCCCACTTCCCACAGAATCATAAATTCCACTCACTCACTTCAGTCATCCACGAACAAAAAAAAATTAAAAAAAGAATTCATCCGATCAAAAAAACTGCACACACTCACACGTCAGGCATTTTCATCTAGTTTACGTTGATATAAAAAAAGGAGTGATGGACTATTTCATGCGATTGAGTACCAGGTCACTAACGACAGCGAGTCCCTTCGAGTATGGACTCTCAGCGAGCGATTGAGCAAGACGAACAGCCTCGATACAGTGTTTCTTCGCTAAGAATCTCGTTTGATCGAGACCTTGTGACTCGTGAACCAGTTCAAATGCTTTTTCAACGTCTCCAGGCTCTTGGAAGCGACGCATTATCATTGGATTTAACTCTGGATACTGTAATTAGATGAAGACACATTCTTAATTGATTCGGGGAAAAGTTTAATTGACTGTAAATTGTCGTTTCGATTTCAGTAGAGAAGTGATAGACCGAAATCAGTCAGAAGATTCAATTGTACTATTTTGCTGATATCTGCGGAATTCTCAGAAATTTTCTCCGACATTTCCCCCTAAAACTTATAGTTTCAAAGATTTTCGTAAGAATCCAGAACATTTTTCTCAATTGAAAATTGAAAATCATCTTGTTTCACTGCTCTACAGGTGTAATTTCCTATTGTTGATAAATAATCGCTGCTTACTCTTTCACAGGCGAAGAGAACTGGTGCAGTGGCGAGACCGAGCTTGAGGTCAGCTGCTGTGGGCTTGCCCATCGTTGACGATGTGGACACGAAGTCGAGGAGATCATCGACTAGCTGAAACGCTAAGCCAATGTTCCTGCCATACTGGAAAGCAACTTCTGATAATCTCTCGTCTGCACCTCCCAAAATTGCAGCCTAAAGTATAAAAGCACATCATTTTGTTGCTGTTTTTAAGTGGTTTTTGCATTTCAAACTGATCGCATCGAGTCAATTTATCGTCGACAGAAACTAATCTATACGAAATATTTGGCTCAAGAGGCGGATAATTCACACCAAACGGTGCCTTTTCAGGATGAAAATATCTCATGTAGAGGAAAATTTATCAACAAATATTTTATCCCTCAGTTGATTGCTATCATATCATTATGATATAATTATCATTATGGGAGTATCGAATAACGAAGGGGTAGTGCTAGAAATGACATTTCTTGCGTGTACAGAGAATACATTTTTTTTAACTACAAAATCTATTTTTGCGACAAAAATTTTTCATTCCGGCGCACTCTCTCCACATTTGGTACAAAAAAATCCTTTTTTATAATTTTTAAAAAACTATTCTTTTGGCACAAGCAAGACTTGTTTGAGAACTTTGTCGTTGTTCTCTTAGTGTTGTTTACCAATTCAGATCGTTTCACATTATTATTTTGAAATAAAGCCAAACCGAATTAGTGAAAACTCACAGCTTTGGCAGAATTGGCGATAAGACTCGCTGTTTTCCTGTACGTCTTCGTGAGGTAGTGTGCAAATCTCTCATTCTCAGTTTCTTTTGATCCCAACTGCATGAATTCACCTTGCACTAAATCCGTAACAACCTGATGGAAAAGAAGCGAATGAGTAAAAGTTTCAACACCGCGTGAAAAACTCATTTCTGTAATTAATTTCATGTGGTTCACACGAGCTCAAGGTGCAGTGATTCTCCATCGCGAAATCGTCAGTAACGTCCAGTCAATTCGTAAATGTCAACGATAATCGGGACAGTGAATGAAAGCATCGGTTGGAGGGGAGTATGAGGTATTAATGATTTTATGACTGCTTTTCTTCATCGTGAGGATTCATGGAAAATTATTTTGCGATGCTTGAGTGAAGATCGTACCTGACTGAGGGTTAATGTGACATCGTCGCTCCTCAATCGTGCTATCATCATCGAGGCCACTGCGAGAATATAATCACCAGTCATCGCCACCTGGAACATGAGTAGAAAATTGAAATTTCAATATTGTGGCGATTTAAAGATTCCGTGGTCGGAGTTATTGAATGGAAAATCAATGAATAACGGGAAGTAAGGAGGGGAATAAAATTTGATAGCAGTAGTAGTGGAATAATAATGCGGTTTACAAAGGATTTTTCTGCGAATGGATGCGCGATTATTTGTAAATGATAATGGGGAAAAATAAACTCGGTGAAATTATTGGACTTGTTTTTAACAGGTGTTGAAGAATTATGTTTGACGATCATTGATATTTTAGTGACAGCTTGCATTCGCAAACTCATCGTGAAAGTTAAACATCACATTCTATTGAATTTTCAATACATAGAAGTTGATGATAATGGTTGCCTCATTTTCCTTGTCATATGGAACCGTAAATTACAATTTTATTGATTATTCCCTCATCTTAATAGTTTACATTTTGCGGAGGAATGGGGGGTAGAATTATTTCTTTGATTTTCGTTATTTCCATTTACTCGCATAGCAACTTTGAACGAATATCTTCCCTTGAAATAAAAGAATGTAAAAGTAAAAAAAGTGAAATATTTTTCTGATTGAATCCCATAGCAAATCATTAAAGTATAATTTTTTTTCAATTTTTGATTCGAAAAATCTGAAAAAATTCCTCCTTCAGTGATTTATAATGCAGTTGAATAATAGAAATTTCTAAAAAAGTCAAATTAGTTATATTTGCGTACATGTTAGATACGTGTCGACTAAAATTTCAGTTCATTGGTCGAGAATTGCGTCATAAGGAAATTTTTAAAGATTTTATCCCTCTAAAGCCTTTCTCTGTTTAATAAAAAATCATTTTTTCTCTTATTTTTTTGCATTAGAACTGAAGTAGTAGACCAATCAGCACGACAGACAATTTTAAAAACAGTCATGCTGCTTTCCAATCCTACGCGAGATTTATCATTTTTCGAATTCAATAAATTAATATGAGACATTACTCTTGGCATTACTTAAATTAATATGATCGCGTAACGCAATTATTTAGACTGATCGTTATGAATTATAGATGCAATGAAAATTATAAAAATAATGCCTGCGGTGGGCACTCAGCACTAATTTGAAAAGCCACACGTGAGCTTCGTTCTAAAATGCACCTGAGGTATTCTTTTCCTTTCACCTTAATTATCCGTCGGCTCCGTTGACGCTCTCTCAACAATTAATCGCACCGTGCTATCAAAAATTCTAGAATCTCCGGACTTCAGTCAAAAATAGTTCTCATTTGACCCGTTTTTTCTGAATGGCTGCATTATTCATTGATTCTGACGGAACGGATGGGAGAGGTGAGACTCCTCTCCCATCCGAGACAACTTTTCCTTCCGCCACATCCTGATACACTTTATGTGAAAGAGAAAAAATGAAAATGAAAAATCGTCCATCGAATATCGTTCACACTTACATAATTATCGTATTACCTCAGCTGCGGAGGTTTTGAGAAAGTATCAACAGACATTTGTTGTGGGAGTTTTGACAAGTCGTCTCAAAATAATCAGATGAAAACACTTTTGACATAAAAAATGATTGATGAAGATTTCACATTCCGCCACTACTGTTTCCACACATTTCTAAAATATTTTTTTTAAGTAGTGCAGTGTTGAAAATTTTTGACTGAAATTTCTGGTAAATATCTCCAAAATTCGTATCAAATGACTGTTACAGTGCAGTGTCAAGGGGTTTTGCCATTAAAAAATAATAATTTGATGATGAAATCAATGGAAACTGTCCATTTCAGTTCAATTCTTTTCTGTGTGCCTTAGGAATCATATTTCTGAAGTGAATTTCTCTCATTTCGTCGGACATTTTTTCATTCAAAAAATGAAGGCTTGGGCAACGATAGGAAATAATAAATGGTTAATTAGGAAATCAAATGTCAATTTAGTCATACTGATTAGGTTCAGACAGTGAAACCGGATGCAAAGATTTTTCGGAGATTTCTGAGGCTCTGACAATTTTTTTAAGAGATTGAAATGTTGATTTTACAGCGGATGTATTGAGTGAGGAAATATGCATATGAAATTCATTGTTTCATTCACGTCCTGATGAGATTTTTGTGAAGAAAGATAAGTAAACAGAGAATTGTTTATCGAATATCGTCCACATTCATATAACTATCGTAGTATTTCTACGATTAAAGGTTTGAGATAAATCAAGAGACATTTTTAGAAGAATTTGAACATGTCTAAAAATTATTAGAGAAAACTGAAATAACAACATTCACATCCAACCTTTGCTGTTTCGACACCTCGTTAAAATATTGATCAATTATTCAATTATCGTACGGGCCCTATGAGAAATGTGAAAGGCTTTGTTGTGGCTGATTAATGCCCACGAAGAAATTCAATCAAAGTGTTCTACTAAAAGCATTCATTAATCACATAATTGGAGATAATGACTCAAAGCAATATCAATTTTTCACTTAACGGTATCCCAAAATCATTGGCAATTACGGTGTTATTTTAAGAATGTCTCATTCTATGAGAAAATGTCACCTGGTATTTCTTGCAGGTAATGAAATTTCATCAAGACCTGGCTGTTAATGTTGTTTTCTAAAATTGATTAATTGTTTCTCATTTCTAAGTGTCGGTAGAAAATTTTCACAAAATGGCTTCTTACACCCTTTAATTACACAGCATATACATATATTAAATTATTTTTTTCAAAATGTTCGTTAGTTTCCAAAGAATAAAGGGATGCATCCGTTTTACGATCCTTTGAACGGACCGTGAAAACCCTTTTAAAAAATGAAAAATTAATGAATGAAATTTTAAAAAATCTTGGAGTTCAGTTTTTTCACACTTTGTCATCTATAACTCATCATAAACTACAAGAATCGCCTCTGCAACGCTCGACGATTTCCAAATTTCACCGCGGTCTCCCCTTGAAAGAAAACCCTCATCGGTATTTCCCGTGGAAAGTCTATGGTCTATGTAAATAAGTATTTAACTCATCTCTTAATGCACATATCCACAAAACGTCAAGCACAATGGGCCATAAATAATGCGTGTCTTGCCGCAAAAATTCATTCCACAGCTCTTAACTACTAGCAACAAAAAAATATATTACAGTTTCTCCCTTTCATGAAATGCTATTCCATTTCTCAATACCAGGATATGAAAAAAGTCATTTGAGGAACATTGAGATGCGTTTTTCAGGAGTGATGCATTGCTGAGGTGAGTTTCTCTCAATTTTGTCGGACATTTGTTCACTCGAAACGTGAAGGAATGGGGAATATGGAATATTAATATGGGGAAGCGTAACTGTTGAGATCTTTCGTCTCCATATTGTTGAATTTTTGTTATCTCGGGGACTATGTCATGGGGACCGGGTTTAGACAGAAAAACCGGATGAGAAAATTTTTGGCGATTTCTGGGACATTTTTTTCGATGGAGATTGGACTGTTGATTTAACAGTGGGTGAATTCATGAATTTAGTGAGGAAATAAATGTGTAAGCAGTTGATTTGTATTTCCTGAGGAGAAAAGTTGAGATTAATATGACAAAAATCCCATCAAACTTGTCCGAATAATGAATAATGGGAAAACTCGATGGTTTTTCTCTTTTTTTTTCCACACCTTTCAATTTTCTTGACATGGGAACTAGATTTATTTGTGAGAAGCCTTCGGTTCTTCACTCAAAATTCAAGTGTATTACATTTCATACACTCATAAATGCATTATAAAGTGCATTATAAGTGATTGCAAAAACTCCGCGCCAAGGACGTTGCCTTCGTCGTTACAAATTTTGAAAGTAAAAAAATTGAAAAAATTAATAGAATTTTTCGTAATAGAAATCACTTTGAGAGAAAAAAAACAATCGTGCTGGGGGGGGGGGGACTATGCGGAGTTTTTATTTTTAACTTCCCGGTTAATACCGGATAGTTGTTGTAACAGCCTTGAAATCGAAACCGAAAATTTCACGATATCGTTACGTGTGATATTTCTCCACCACATTAGTAATCAATGAAAACCATCCAATTTTCATTACCTCGGTAATCTATAATGGTATGCAAGCAACTTTTAATACCTTATTAATGGTTAGAAAAGAGAAATGCACTCTTATCATCTTTCTAATCAATAATGAAGCTAAATGTATTTTTATAGCCTCTTTATTCGATAATAGTCGTGACGTGAGTTTTTCAGATTAATTTACTGTTATATATTGCAATAAAAAGCACCCTTCTGTTAGACCCTTATGAAATTTTTCTGCAGTCAGGGAATGAAATTCACATTTGAACGATTTTATAGACAGCCGACTAGTAATTTTCAGAAGGTAAATATTGAATGCGATTTAGAGGGAAAAATGATAAAATTTCAGATTTCACTTAAAATTTCTAATTTTCAAGCAGCATTAAGACAAGAATTCTTCAACTGATTAGAATTTTAGTGGAACTAGAATATGATAAAAATTCCCTGAAAGTGTATCGGAACTTGACAGCCAAAAAATTTTCAATTGTACAAAAAAATCGAGTTATGATGAACTTACAAAAAATCGTAACTATAAGATGAAGTATCTGCAAGAGACAAGAAATTTTTTCATTCCCCTCAAAACTAGAATATTGCTCATAGCGACAATTAGAAATCATCTTCGATAGAAGTTCCTTTTTTTTATTCGAAAACTTATTTTTCTACTTATGTGATTTGTTAAAAAACGTTACATTGAAAAAGTCACTGGCTTTATTTGTCTCATTAAAAAACCAAAAAAATACAGAGGGGTCTCATTTTGCCCTGGTCAATTGCATCACTATGCCCCGTAGAAATATCTAGAAAATTCTAGAGCTTTCTGGAAATTCCGGCCCTTCCAGAAAATTCTAGAATATTCTTGAGTTTTTGAGAATATTTTTGAGATTTCTACAAATTTGTTTATGGAGTGTCACGCAAAATTGACATTTCAGCACGTAAAAATTACCTTTTGATCCATAAAATTTCCAGAACCCAAAAGAAAAAATTCATTTGTTACTTCAGTTTT